ATAGATAATTTTCAAAATTTGCAACTGCGTATCCTATCAACGGAAACGCAAATGAGATTTGTCAAAACTTAATTAAATTTTTCTCACACCATTTAGCACCTAGTAAAATTACTACGGATAATGGTCCAGCATTTAAAAGTGATTTAATCCAAGATCTTTGTAAAACTTACAAGATTGAGTTACATTTTGTTACACCTTATAATCCTAATTCGAATTCACCAATCGAAAGGTTCCATTCAACATTGAAGGAAAGCCTTGTAGCTCTCAGGAATAAACATCTTTCCAAAACTATCCAGGAATTGATTGATATTGCTATATTAAATTATAATAATAGCATACATTCTTCACATGATTATACACCATTTCAAATATTGAAAGCATCAATTAAATTTCGAGAAAAATTTGAATAAAATCCAAACAGATTATACATACGAATTAGCAGAAACTTTTAAGCAACTTAATGAAACTATCCACTTGAAACTAAGAACTACTTGTATTTATAGATCAGAAAACTGAACTGAAACTATGTTCGTTCCATCAGATGAATTTTAACAAAAAAATTCAGTATTAATACTTAATTACCATATTATTCATATTACCATGAAAGAATTTAAATTTCAAATAAAATATATACAAAAAAAACCTATTTATTTGTCCATTAGGGGTAAATACCCGGGTATGTACCCAAAATATATTTACCAGGTATTTGCCCATCACTACTCCAACTCCTTGATGTAGGAGTTCACGGGCCATTTTAAAAGCTTTATAGCGTGGCTTTATATAATTGGATCCTTTCTAATCCCTGTAAACCCGTTGGCATGTCCCTATATTTGCCAATAAAGCATTTGTGGAATCATTTCCTCCAAAAAACATAGCCGCATTTTCAAAAACAGGCATATTCCCATTCAATAGGGAGAATTTTGATGAAGATGATTTTCTGTCAACATGTGTCCGACCGCCCAGAACAAACAGGAGGTGCTAATAATACCCATCCAGCTTCAAATGAATCAGCAGAATTGGATTATCCTACTCCTTCAACTAGCGTAATAAAGAAATAAATGAATGTCATAAGTTCGTCCTTTATAAGTCCCAAAAGCTCCTCCTCGGAATACGTCTAGCCGAGGTAGAAAGCTTGGTAGGAGGAGGAGGTGGCTGACAGATACACCTGAGAAAGACGAACTAGAAAGATTAGCAAATGAAAGAGAAAAGAAGACAGGATATGTCAAAAAAAGGGGCTTAGCGACATTTTGATGAACACAAAATATTTTCAAAAGGCCGAGTGTAACTAATTATTTCTATTTATTCCATTATTTTCTTCATTTCTACAGGATGTTTGAACGAAGGTGACACCCCAATTTAACTCATAAGAATCGACCCTAAATTTCCAGGAAAAATTGTTTTATAGGAAAGTCAGTGAAAAGAGAAAACTGGAAATTATTTTTGTTCATTTTATAAGTCTAGTGCTGCTGGAGGACGTTTGTTCAAATTTCAATATATCTGGCTGGACAAAAAAAATTAAGATACTCAAGAAGTTGATGAAAAAAATGTGTTTTACGGACGAATAGAAATATCTGGCAATGAACCTTTTTGCATAAAATGTGTTGAAAAATACAAAATTGATAAACAATCTAGAGCTTTGAAAAAATTATATTTGGAAACACTTGAGGAAAACATTATAAATCTTTGGCTTTTGAATACTTTTTCTCGAACTTTCACTGTAAACCGAGCGACGAACTGTAATATACTCAGTAATATACACTGTAAAATCGTGTTAAGATTTTGAAAATCCTCAAAATCCTACAAAATCAATAAAGATTCAAAATCTGTGTACATATTTTGAGGAGTTAACCACCCCTCGGGAAAATACTGAGGGGGAATACCCATAAACCCAACCTCAAAAAGGTTTAGCGGTTGCTGTGCGTGAGAGTTGAAACGAGGTTAAAAACGTTTAACTTTAAGCCAAAATGAATTCAACCTTTATCCAAGTAATATTGAAAAATAAAAAACTAGTAAAAGTATAACGAAAACTTTTTTATGTTGACTGTTTTCAGAAAAATATGGGAAATAGTCATCTGATAGGTTACTGAGGCTGAGGGAGGAATATGCCGAAAAAAGACATCAAAAAAAAAAAAAAAATGAAAGAAATAATAAAAAAATAGAGAAAAAAATTGAGAGAAAAATAGTAAAAGCTAAGAAAGAAAGAAACTTTAAAAATACTAAAATGGCAAAAAAAAACTAATCTGCAGAAAGTACAAAATCTAGACTAATTATGGTGGTTGATGATCAAACATCAGAATTTCGATCAGAATCAGCAGTCATTAAGTAGCCTTCGTGATTCAGAAAGTGGACAGGAATATTTCAATGATGCAGAATAATAGCAGCTTGAAGTAGGAAAGTATTATGCAGTTGCCTACTCTAACAAATACCACATTGGAAAATTGACAAAAGTAGAGAATAATCAATGTCATATAAAATTTTTAGAAGAATTTTCAGATGTCTTTACATATTATTTTTTATTTCATTATGTATTATATTTAAAATATTCCGATTCCACAGGTGGCGCAGAGGAAACGCATGTTTCAAAGGTGATGCACAACTTTCGAGAGCCGTTGGAGATGAGCGACCTCAAAGCAGGACGACAACTCTGAGAGAAGCATTCAGAAATGCGGGCCTGTATTCGAGGCTGTATTCGATAGTTATTTATACACCAAGTGAGTTAAATAAATGTTTATTCATAAGCAGAAAATTTTCTTCTAATGAATAAACATTTTAACTTACGTGATGTATACAAAATTTTATCCCATTTTGATGATCATTCAACAAATAAAGTAATAGGAATCAAATTATAAATATAATTCATTTAGGACCTAGCATATGAAACCGCTAATATCTAACATTGAAATTGGTGGTTGCTAGGGTATAACTAGTTGTTGGTTTGTAGGGGCCACTACCCCACTTCTGGCCGACTACCCGGTGGTTTCTTGCAAATAAGCAATATATTTCAAATCGATTCAAATTTCCCGCCGAGATCTGTTTAATGATGCTTTAGGAGTGGGGTAAACCTCATTTCACGGTTGAAAACGCCATATTTGATTTATCATAATTTTGGGCGTCACATGTGTGCCTGTGTGGTGGTAATCCTCAACATTTCCTTTGAGAAACTTTTGAAGACATCCAGGTTGAAAATTGAGTTTTTTTAATTTTGAAAGTGTTTTGTATTGGATGAAGGCAAGTAGATTGACTTAGCATTTATATTTTTAACCTAATGCAACCATTTGAAATGTTTCTGTTTTTTTAAATGTACTGGCCATTAGTAGAAACCTATTTTTGACATTTCCCTACTTTGGGCCATGCATCTGACCAAAAGTAGAAAAGCCAAATCCACTTTTGGCCATTAATTTTTCTTAGCACTATTTTCATTATATTTTTATTTATTTTCTTTCAGGCAAAATGCCAAAAACAACCCAAAAAACAAGAATTCAAAAAACTCATAAATTCCAGTATTCTCCAGCGAAAATCAATTTAGCATTAACCGCCATTACCGAAGGAATGCCGGTGTCAACGTCCAGCTCAAAATTTAATGTACCTCGTACTACTCTGAGGAATTAAATCAGCGGCAAATCTCCACGGGAACTCATAGGAAAATGTGGATTTTATTTATTTGTCCGTAAGAACTTGGAACAGTCATTGGTTCAGCAGTCGGTTTTGAACTGTGCAAAAATGGGCTTTCCCATAGACAAAGATGGATTGTTGACATCTGTACAAAAAATTGTAACAGAACTTAACATTAAAACTCGTTTTCCTAACAACCGACCTGGAAAAAAATGGTACTATACGTTCTTAGCACGCCACAAAGAACTTTCACAGAAGAAACCCGAATATATTCATGGTGGCAGAGGTACAGTAACAGAGGAGAAAATCCGGGCCTGGTTAACTAAAGTCAATCAATATTTGAAATCAGTCTAAGCACTTGATATTCTTAAAGATCCACAGAGGATATTCAATATGGACGATAGTGTTGAGCAATGAAAAAATTAAAAATTCTATTCTATCAAAAATTTAGTTTTTTGTTTTCCAGGGTTTCCTTTAGCACCAAAAAGTGGACTTGTTCTCGGTCCTCGAAGCACACATGTTTACGATGAAAGGACATCGTCTGATAAGGAAAATATATTATCACCCTTTATGCAGTCAGTGCTGTAGGCAAAATTTGCACCACTTCTGACCTTATTCAAATACGATAGGTTACCCAAATTTATCTTCCAATCAGCTCCAAAGGGTTGAGGCCTAGGAAAAAGTGAGAGTGGTTGGATGTTTCTTGTTCCTTCGATGTTTTCTATAATTATCTTCAGGAACAAGATGTCAAATTTCCGATCGTTTTATTTGTAGATGGCCATAGGTCTCATTTTACACTGCATCTGAGCAGATTTTGTAGAGAGAAACAAATTATCCTGAGAAAACCATACTTGTTACAGAGTAAATCAGTAGAACTCAATGAGGAAATAAAGGGCCATCTCACCTATTTAGAACAAAACATCGATCCTGAATTACTGGCTGAATTCAAAATTACATGAAAAGAAACCATGATTGGGAGGGTGAGCAGAAAGCTCTATGTTTATTTGAAATATGGGAAAAAATTTCAAAAGACTCCGAAAACACCATTCAGGAAAATAAAGGAGAAGATTAGAACATTTCATGAAGATAATGGAAAAATCATACGATCCACCGTCAATACCTGACAATTCTGGAAATCAAGGCATGAAAATTAAAAGGGACAATGATATGCCTCAAAAAGACACAAGTTCCGAAGAATAATGGGAAGAGTCAGGAAGCAGTGGTGACGATATTGATTATTTAGGAGCTGACATACCAGACATCGAAATACACAAAGCAGATGATTTGAAACCTGGTGATTTCATTTTGGTGAAATTTGTTGGCAGGCACAGGCAGAAGAATGTCCACGACTTTCAGATATGTTGCAACTGTTTTAACAATTGTTTCAGATACAGCGTTGCAGATACAACGTCTAAAAAGTATTGACAAACAAAAAACCAAATTCGATTACATAGAAAATGACATTTCAACTGTCAATAAACTGGATATTCTGGGTTTGCTTCCTGAACCGTCTTTAGAACAAGAAGGAAAAAAGTTAATAACAAAATTTTCAGGGAATTGATGTATACGAAAAATGTTAGTTCTTGGTTCTTAGATTTTGTTAAAAGTTTCAGTATTATAAAAATACATGTATACCCAGCTATAGATATGTGTTTTAATTCAAAACTTTTTTCATGAACCTTCAGGCCACTCTAGTGGCCAAAAATAGAAACTGACGACCATAGGTGGCAAATTTTGCACATGAAAAAAAAATCTGTAATTTCAAAAAAAAAAAATGTGTTTTAGGGTATTAGGTGATTTATACATATAGCTAGAATGTACCTGTATTTGTACATACACATAAGAATATCAACAGGTGATCTCCCGAAATTTATGAAAAAAAATGTATGCTCGAGACAATTGATAATTCTCTTAACATTGTCAAGAAATTGTCAAGTCTATCAATCATAAATCAAGATTTCAAAAAAATTATACCATATTTTACATTTTTTTGAATAAATTTCATTATAAATTCATATTAAATTTTTTACAAACATCTATATTATACCACAAATGAAAAAACATAACAAAAAAAAACCAGAGAAATCGATAAACTCACTACAAGCCCTGAAGAAGAAGCGAAAGGCTTCGAAAGCTAGGCACTTGTTAAAGAGTAATAATAAATCTATATTGATACGATACTGACTGTTTCCCAATTATTAAAATATATAGAACTTTCGGTCGGCGTTCGAACAACAACGTGTGTGCAGTTTAGCTCCTCAAATTTATTCAGTTTTTGATAGTTATTGATAGTTATTTAAATATATAGTGTACATAAGTCATTAAGAAAAAAACTACAGGAGTGCTGGGCAAGTGAATTTTTTATTACAACACATGTATAAAATTGTTTTTGTAATTTAATTGCCAGTAAATAAAACTCGCACACATAAACGCACTGTTGGACTTTATCCCTTGAGACAGAGGCGAACTGAACGGTAATTTGGGAACCGAAAATGACAAAGTCCAAAAGAAAGACACTAGAATGTATAAAGTGTAAACGAAATATCACAAAGCTGTATTACAAAATCCAGTGTGCTAGTAGCTGTGGTGACTGGTTCCATAAAGACTGTTCGGGACTCGACGATGAAGAGTTTACAGCGTACGAACTCCGGAAAACTGCTCAAAAATGGGCCTGCATCAAATGTTCAATGGCCGATGGTAGGAGAAGAATGTCAATTCCTCCCAATCCTGCGGACAACAGGAGGAGTAGCATCGGTGTGCATGCACGCACATCGACTGCTATCATCCGCACTGCTGTAGCTCAGGATACATTTGAAGATATTTTTGATTTGGCCAGTCCAACCAACTTGGATATAATGAAAGCTATGAAAAAGATGTATGAAGAGTTAAAAAATTCTATAACCTTCAATGGATCTATGATGGAACAAATGAAGGAAAGTATACAAACTCTTGCGGATGAAAATAAACATCTAAAGAGAGAACAAGATCAGCTGAAAGCCAGAGTGGTTGAACTGGAGAAGGAATTGGTATATGTCAAGAGCTCCAGCAAAGAAAATTCAAATGGAAAATCAAAAAGTTTGATTATAGTAGGACTGAAAGGCGATGAAAACTGCAAAATGGAAATCATGAAAATGTTTGACATCCTGGATGTAAATCTTGCCCAAGATGACTTCCAAATTAAGGTTTTACCCAGCCAAAAGACATTAAAACCCATTCTAGTCACACTTCAGGATCAAGACCTTCGCAACAAAATCCTTGAAAGGCGAAAAACTGTACCCCTGGATACCGAAATCTGCAACATCCCAGCTGAAACAAACAGAAAAATATTTATTAATCTGGACCTGCCCAAGTATGCCCCAGATCTCTTTTTGAAGGCAAGAGAATTAAAGGTATTTGGCTACAAATATGTTTGGTGCAAAAAGGAAAATATTCTGGTAAGAAAAAACGACGGTGAATCGGTTATCAGAATCGTGACCTCGTCTCAGGTTGAAAGTATGAAAGGCGATCCTTAAATATTAAATATTATTTGAATACTTTTCTTTTTTTTCTTTTTTTTTATTGTTGTTTATGTCTATTAATAATTCAATGGCGCCAAATAAAAATAATCTAAATATAGGGCATGTAAATATACGATCTATTGTACCGAAGATGAATATAATTAGGGATTATTTATTTCTTAATAAATTTGATATTTTTGCTATTTCAGAGACTTGGCTCACTAGCACAGTAGACGATGGGACAGTTGGCATTGATGGATTTCGGGTGGTAAAGCGTGATCGCAACGGGGGTCGAGGAGGAGGTGTTCTTATTTATATACATGATAGTATCAAATATTCTGTGCTCACTAATCTTAGCACAGATCACTCTGAACAATTATGGGTTGAATTTAAGATTAATGGGATAAAGAGTATACTGGGTGTCATATACAGGCCTCCAGGTTTTGCTAACTTTAACTATTTTTATGAAGAATTCGAAAGTAATATTTCAAGTTGTTTACTAACCTGTGAAAACTTCATTTGTTTGGGCGATTTCAATATTAATTTATTAAACCTGGACTGTCCACAGTCTCAGAATTTTATGTTCATAATTCATGCATTTGGTATCAAGCAGATTCTTAATGAACCAACCAGGCTCTTTAATGACTCTGCATCTCTTTTAGATCTTTTATTGTGCTCAGATACAAACATTATATGTGATAGCGGCGTTGATACTACATTTCATGCATCTGACCATTTACCCATATGGTGCAGGTTAAAACTGCTCGTTTCTAAGCCCAAACCTTTTTTCGTAACATAGAAATTTCCGCAATTTTGACCAAGACCGATTCTATGAAGAACTTCTACAAATCCAGTTAGATAATATTTTTTATGTCAATGACGTTAATGAAAAACTAAATATATTCAATGCTTATATTCTCAGTCTTTTTGACGCAAGGGCGCCTTTAAAAACCTCTAGAATCACAAAAAAAAGGGTCCTTGGATCACAGAAAATATAAGATTTTTTATGCATCTTCGTAACAAAGCCCTATCAAAATACAAAAAACAAAATAACGCTAACAACTGGGAAAACTATAGGCAGCTTCGAAATTATGTAACTATTGCTGTTCAAAACGAAAAAAAGTCATGTCTTGAGCAAAATGTTCGTGCAAATAACCCGAAAAACAACTGGAGGCTTTTAAAAAAATTAGATATAACTGCCTCAAATCGCAAAGTGTTACCTAAAAATCTTGGAACTATAGAAGAAATTAATGAGTTCTTCATCAACATAGCCTCATCATCAGCACCATGTTTGGAAACCTTAAACTTCTATTCAAGTCATAGAAAAGTGGATGTTGGTGCATTCAATTTTAGAATGGCAACAGATGCTGAGGTATTCGCCGCTCTTTGTTCCATTAAGTCAGAGGCGACTGGTGTGGGCGGAATCGGTTTGCGAATGATACATTTTTGTTGTCCTTATATTGTTCCATTTCTTGTTCACCTGGTTAATTGTTGCATTGAGACATCAGTTTTTCCAGATGCCTGGAAGAAGTCCTACTTGATTCCTATACCAAAAGTGGCCTCACCTACGGAACTAAAGGATCTGCGACCTATAAGCATTCTGCAGACACTTTCGAAGGTGCTTGAGAGAGTCATGGAGAGTCAAATGCGTGAGTATGCTGAGCGTTACCAGCTGCTTCCACCGTATCAGTCTGGCTTTCGTAAGGGTCATAGCTGCGCTACATCACTTTTAAAAGTGACAGATGGTATTTTTCAGGCAGCTGATCGGGGTGAGCTCACTGCATTGGTTCTATTAGATTACTCCAAAGCATTTGATAGATTAAATCACAACATGTTTCTGGCTATATTGCATTACCTGGGTTTTGGCGCGAGGGCACGTGATCTTATCAAAAACTATCTTAGTGGCAGAACACAGTCGGTCAAGCTTGATGAAGGTGTGTCAGTCGAAAGAAATATTCAAAGGTTGAAGGCTGTGTGCACGCTTGGAAATGAGGAGGAATGAAAGTTGTGTATTTTCATGCAAAATATTTAATTTTTCAAAATCAGTGCAGAGCGCTTTCGGCCTTAGGCCATCATCAGTGCTACCTGGAAGTAGAAGGGAGACCTTAACTTTATAAAATAATGCTAAAAAAAGGAAAGATAGAGAATGGGGTCTAGCCTACTTACTTCGTCAGGTAATCAGTGCAGAAAAATCCAACAAAATCGGGACGACACATTGGACAAGTACGTACGTAACAACAACAACACTTTAAAATTAGAATCTTATATCACATTTTTTATATAAAGGAACTGAGCTGTAAAAATTCTCTCACAATGCTGGCTTTAGGGTCCAATCTGCTGAACTTTAAAAAATTTTGGTCAGTTATGCCTTACTTCATCGTAGTCTCTGAAAGTATAATCTTTGTGATAAATCCCAAATTTAGGATTTTTAGAATTTTAATTTAAAACGTGTCGTTCGGAAACCAGAACCCATCGAATGAAGATGACTTTCAAATTTTGAATTGACATGAAGATTATCAAAGACAGTTGACACCTCGAGACAGACAAACGTCCAAAGCGAACCCAGGTTAGGTTGTAAATCAAATGGAATAAGACGGAAGAAAAGAAGAGACATTGAGGGAAAACAACATGGCCGTCGAGTCCACACAACGATGGTCAGGAGGAACAATTTAGAGGCGTCTATGCAAGGGGATGTATGATCTATTCAGATTTACCTGAGTGTTAAGACATAGTTCATTGTTGCGCAACTCTTTACTGATCTCAATATCTTCCATGAAATCTAAACGATTGAAATTTTTAGAAGAAATGTTGTGTAGTATTTTTGAATTAGAATGGGGGCTGAAGTTATGTTTAGTAGTTCTCAGGTGTTCGCCAAATGCTGAAGATTGCTTTGTGATATGCTCTTGTATACGAGTCTTTAGAGGTCTACAAGTGCGGCCTATGTAGGTTTTTTGACAATTGTTGCAATCTAGCTTATAGATGCCACTTTTTGAGAGATGATCTATTTTATCTTTAGTATTGACCAAGTATGTTGCTAAGCTATTGCAAGTTTTATAGGATATTTGAATATTCTCGACATTTTGGCGAACCGCTGCTGATATTTTGGAATTGGTAGATGTATTAGGTCTGAAATTTGTGAGCATTACGCTAAACTTGACGTCTTTAACTGTGAACTTAAAAAAATCTATGATAACCTCTCTCTGGCCCTTGGGGTTGAATTTGTCAACAATATAATCAATGACATTTCCGATGAGGTTGACGCATCGAGACAGGCCAAGTTCATCAAACTCAGGTCAAAGTTGGACAACCTCATTAAGTCAAGGATTGCCAATAATAAGAACAGACAAAAACAAGCTCACAAATTCTCCAATTTCAAATTCCATGACAGAGTCATGAACCTTTCAAACACTGTCTTTGAAGACGACGAGTTGGAACTTCTTAATTTGGGTCTAAAATATTGTGTACGCACACCTCTTTCTGATATTGATATCCTCAAATATGCTGTAGAATTGGACGTCATTATCGAACAAATCTCGAATGATTACAACATCAAAAAAACACTAAGGAATGACATACACAATGTTTTATACAACACAAAGAAAAACATCACTAAATACAACCTTTCTATCTCGACGTTCTCGCTTAGGACCCTCAAAAAACTCAGAATTAAGATTAATGAACAAAATTTAATTATAACCAAAGCTGATAAAGGCTGTTGTCTTGTAATTCTTGACAAACTTGAATATATTTCTAAGGTTGAGGCTTTCTTACAATCAAATAATTTTCAGAGATTGTCGTCGAATCCACACAACGGTTTCGCCAGGAGAACAAACAGAATTCTTAAACATTTCAGCAACTTCCTTGAACAAAATCAAGCTCCCAAAGTACTTCTTTCTAGCAATCCAGTGGTCCCAAGGTTGTATGGCCTTCCCGAGGGGTGTTTCACGATCGGCATTGGTGTACAAATGTTCGGCAATGATGGCGGCAATGAAGGCAGTGATTTAGGTATTGTCGGGCATTGAATGGAAAAATAAGGAAAATTTGCAGCAGTGACGGCATTGATGTCGACATTGACGGCATTGATGTCGGCATTGACGAGGCATTGACGGCATTGATTTCGGCATTGACGGCATTGATGGCATTGATGACGGCATTGACGGCATTGATGACGGCATTGAAGGCATTGATGACGGCATTTTCGACGGCATTGTCGGCATTGACAGAAATTTTCCCAGAAATTTCAATTCCCTTTGGCAGTTGTTGAGTGTTGAGTGGTAGTTGTGAAACGAAAGGTGAAATATTGTGTAGAATATTATTAACAATAATCGGCTAATTGGCATCATTTAGCAGTGAGATTTTGTGGTGATTATAATTGAGGGTGATAATAGAAGGAAAAAGGTAAGTAGATTTATAGATACACGAGTAGATACATGAATGTTTTTTGTATATAAATTTCAACGAAACTGTACATATTGAATAGTATAGGAGATTTCATTATGAGATTTTGGTCGCACCGGCGCATTGCTGACTTTGGCAGAAAGTCGACAAGCAGTGACATAACCTATAAAAAGCAACGTCCATGTTTTGTTGCTATTTATACGAGTATCGAGCCGAGTATTTATAGGTTATGTGACTTTGTTTGTCGACTTTCTACCAAACTCATGGCGGTTTCGACTGGCTGCACTGCACCTCGGTGCGCACAGTTTGACAAACAGAAATCGCCATAAGGGCGAGTTCAGTTCTCATGATCGTAAGTTGACGTTGACATTTCTGGCGTCAGCACGTGATAAAATAATGAATGCGTGTTATGTTATTTTCTCGAAAAGCAGAACTTATTATGAATGAACTGTTATAAATCATAACTTTACTACGAGCGATATTTTTATCAGATTTGTTCAAAGTTATACACCTCGTTATAAACTCTTTTCAGGTTCTGAGAATAATGGCAAGTCAAGTGGTGGAAGAAACAGTAGAAATAATGGAGTCTCCGAGGGAATCCCCGATTATCGATCCTGTCGAGGAGCCGGTAGAAGAATTTGAGGCTATCTTGGCGAAAGTCCAGATTCCTAAAAATATAAAAAGTCTGTTATCTTACTGTGGATGGAACAGTGTCTCAACATTTCAAAATATATCAGAATCTGATATCGACGAAATGGAAAGATTCGCCAGGGATGATTTATCACAGCTTTTAGAAGGTACCGAATTAAAAGAGTTTTTTGGAGTTTTTGCAAAAAAGCCCTCCTTGTTCAAACTTCATGGAGGACATAGGCAATTACTTCGCAACATAAAAGAAATGTGTAAAGCTACTTCCCAAATAAAATGTTCTAAATGCCTCAGTAAATGCAAATGCATGTGCAAGGATCTTGGCAAGCATACAGCAGGTAAAAAGAGGGTGAAAAATGCTGAAAAAACCCGTGAAAAAAGAAAAAAGGATATCGAACAATGTACAGAAGAACCAAGTAACGTAGAGCAAGACAAAAACAACAAAAAGGGACACAATTTTTCTGAAGCAGAATCAGAAGAACCTTCGGGAGAACCCCAGGTAGAACCTTTAAGTCATCTAAAGCTAGTTATAGGCAATTACATAAAATCTTTCTGTAACAAAATATTGAAGGACAATGACGAAGCTATAAATATTAAAAGCAAGATAGGTAATATTCAACTATCTTCAGATATTCCAACGTCTGCGAAAGTTAAATGCCTGCTGTGCGATGCGAGTATAAAAGTATCCCGTGTGGTGGGAAAATACGGAAAAAAATGAATAACTTCAAATTTCAATCATCACTTTAAGGCTCATTTCAAAGAAAAAAATCAAACCGAGAATGAAACAGAAAATCAAACAGCCAAGCCTCGAAGCAAACTAAAAAATTCTACCTTGTTGGACTACTTCCATGACTACCGAGAAAACGAGGGAAAGGAAAACAACTCTCAAACGAGGTCTCAAAGCAACCTCTCAGAAGGCAGTTCCTTTGACGCCTTGTTCGATTCCAACTTGGACAACGACGTAGCATGCACCCAAACATCGGAAGCAAGCAATTTAATAGGTGGAGAATATCTGGAGGCAAATAATGAGCTGGTCTCGGAGCAGCTTGCTCACAACGATATTTCTGTAATGCAAACTCTCGTACAACCTGGAATATTGCCCTTAGCATTACCCGAGGCATTACCTGATTTGGAGAATAACGGGAATCTGTTTTTTTCACAAGGCAGAACTTCCAGTGAGGCAGGAAGTGCTGCTTTAGAAAAGAGTTCAGAAAATGAGCTCGAGAAGCCTCAAAAACCTACCAAGGATGCAAAGTGTAAATGGAAAGACGAAAAATATTCGCGAACTCAGAGAAATTTAAGAAAGCTAGAGTTGGAGGTTGACCATCAATTAAAAATAACATCATTTTTTGAACTCAAAGACCGTATTGTGGAAGTTTTGGGAAGTAATGAAAACATCGAGAGGAACATACTGAAGTCGTGTGCTGATCATTATGAATTCGCAGAACTGAATATGAATAACTTTCTGAATCTTCTGATAAAGCATGCAAAGCAAAATAGTTCTTCTACTGCTAAAAACAACAGATTTACCGATGACCTCAAAAAATTCTGTCTATACTTGTTTATCATTGGAGGCAAACTGAACTATGAAACTTTACAAAAAAATCTACAAAATATATTACCATCATTGTCATCAGTGCGCCGATCATTGAATGAGAACCTCTCAGTAATAGAAGGTGTTGTCAGCATGTGTGAACTTAAAAACTATTTAGTAAAAAGAAAACTTCCTCTAAGCGTTTTCATAAGTGAAGATCAAACGGCAATACTGAAAAAGATCCAGTATGACCCGAAGTCCAACAAGTTAGTGGGCGTGCTATTGCCTAAAGATAATACAGGTTTTCCAGTAACTAATAAATTTATCGTATCCTCGATACAAGATATTAGAAACGCTTTTGAAAAAGAGATTATCACAAACAACGCATACGTATTTATGGCTCAGCCCTTGAAAGATAAAGTCCCAGCGTTTTGTTTGTGCATTTTCGGAAGCAACAATAAATTTAGTTATGAAGATGTTATCAACAGATGGACGTTTGTAGTTACTGAAGCCCATAAGTATGGAATTGAAATATACGGTTTTTCGTCAGATGGGGATACTAGGTGTTTGAAAGCAATGAAGGAACTTTGGAATTTTCCAGACAAAAGTCAGAAAAATTGGTTATCGCCATATTTCCAGGTAAGCTCAAGTTGATAGTGAAATACCTGAGGTGATACCTAATTTTTTCTCTTTCAGATGGAGTTTAACCTAAAATCCCCCGTAGTTATTCAAGACACTGTACATATTTTGACAAAGATGAAAACAAGACTTCTAAATCCCAATATAACGTTGACCATGGGAAAGCATAAAATATCTTCCAAAATTCTTGCTGAGATGATTGAAAAATTTTCCAAAGATATACACTGTTTATGCCAGTCTGACTTAGATAGTAAGTTATTAGCTCGGTTATTAGTGAGTTTAATTCGAGGGCGAAACCGCGGAGGCATTTTAATGTACAAGTGGTGGGAATTTCGAGGTATTATATGGGCATTTCGAGGTATTATAAGGGCATTTCGAGGCATTTTGGGGAATTTTGAGGCATTTCATGAAAAGTTGGGAATTTTTGGGGCATTTTCTATAAAATGCCGAAATTTTGGGGCATTTTTTGGGAATTTTGTGAAATATAGGGGCATTTCGGGGAATTTTTCGAAAAATGTCGGCATTTCCGGGAGTTTTGATGCATTTTTGGCGTTTAGGCATTTTAGTGTACAAATTTTAACCCGCGATTCACCCCGCGGTTTGATTTCTATGAATATATATTTTTCCAGGTGCAGATAAGATGAACTTTGAAGCTGCCAAAAAGTTATGTTCTGAAGCTGTGATAAATACATTGCAAAAGTTGCCTGAAAGTGAGGGAACTGTTCAGTATTTAAAATTAATGCAAAAAATTGACAAAGCCTTCTTGGACAAATCGTTGAAATGCAGCGAAAGATTATTTAATATGTGGTATACAATGGGCTCTTTCATTAAAATTTAAATACGTAATTTAAGTATAAAATCTCAAAGGAGGGACTATTTTAGGCATATATACCAAAAAAAAAATGTTCTACAAGGTTCAATAAGTTTTTCATAGGCAATCAAAAGTGCCTAAATTCAAACTATTTTAAAACGCGCCGATTTGCCGACGTCACATAAATATTCTTCATTTCGCTTATGTCGTTGCAAGGAGGAAGGGCTCGGCTGTGTTTGCGCTCTGTAAAGATACGTAAAGGTTCGAATGCGCTGTTGTCGGTTGTGACTAAATGTAGTGCAGCGTAAAATAAATAAATAAAACTAAACATAAAAAATTGCATTAAATTGTATTTAAGCATAATTTAAATAAAAAATGTTATAAAATCTTGAATCTATAACTAATTAATTTAACTACTTTTCATGAGATTTTGCCAACATTTCAGAATTAAATCTATTACAAATTTTCAATGTTGACAATTAGTGGCAACACGGTCAAATTGCGAGCTGCGACGTCATAGAAATAAATTCTGGGTTTTTATTTGGAGGTATTTCTTTGTTTTCTGTTTTCTCAAGAAGGACTTTGAATTTTTCAAAAGTAAAAATACAGAAAATTCTGTTTTTAGTTGCTTTATCCAAATATGCCAATTTCAAAAATTAGTGAAAGAGCCCATTTTTCAGGCAGACGCGATCCATGACGTCTACGTACTCTACAATAGTTAATTTTTCAATGTTAGATATTCTTCGCCGACTCTCTAGAATTCAAACCCTCAATGAAGTTGTTAGTGATTTAGGTTAGTATTAATTCACATTTTAATAGGCAATAACAGTGATACAAAGATAGAAAATATCTCAGAAAAAGCAATGTGATTTTGAGCAAATTTTCAATTATTTAATTTTTTTTAGGGGATTCTTTCAGTTTTCCAAGGGAGAATAATGCAAGACTTGGAGGCGTTGAAGATAAAAAAAATTATGACTTACTCGAGTTGGCAGAAATTGAAAAAAATATTATTGATGCCAAAGAAAATGCTAGGGAAGATGCTAATCATCTTGGGATTGTAGTAACTGATGAACACTTTAGTATCGTTCATTTGAGAGAAAATTCTGCAAATGAGGAGACAGCTGGAAATGCAGAGGAAATTATCGAGGAAATTATTGATTCAGATTTGGAAATAGAAACTAGCAGTCAAGCACTAGAGGAGGAATATATGTCTGAATATGACTTAAATGAACTAGAAGAAGACCTTAATACTCTTCAAGACATGGAGAATTTAAATTTAAGAGATTACAGTGGTCAAAATAAGTCATGTGATAAAAGTAGCTCATACATAATGGTAACGTTAAAAAATGGAAAACAAATGACAGTAAAAAAATCCAGCATCTGTTGGTTTTTCTCAGAAAAACAGGGAAGATTGTCGACAGATCGACTACTTAGAGTTAAAGGCATGTCCTCGGCCACGTCGCAACCTACAACTCGACCTAAAAGAAAGAAGAAAATTCACCATAAAACAGCAGCAAAAAGAAAAAGAACCAAAGTCACTAAATCAAAATCGAGATTAAAATTGAACGAAGCTGAAACTGAAACAGACACTGAAACAGAATATATATCTGATAAATCGGAAAGCAGTGGCGGAGAATTTATGGTAGATTTAGCTACTGAGGCACCTAGCGACACACCTACTACGGAAATCGAAACCGAAATATTAATAGAAACTGAAAAATACTACAGTGTTTATTATGATGATCAGTGGTACCTTGGCAGAATTTTGAACATAAATGGCAGTGAATGTAATGTAAAGTTTTTGATAAAACAATTAGATGCTTTCGTTTGGCCTAAGCAAGAAGACATTCAGCTAGTTGACAAACAATTCATTTTTTATGGTCCGATCGATTTAGTAGGCAGTAGCCCATTCCAATTGAAGAGGGTTGATTTAAATAAAATAAATAAATTGTATAAAGATTTGAAAAGAATGTAACTCAAAAACAGTAGTATATATACATGTTTAATCGAGTGTATAATCCGAGGTATAATCAATAAATCATATGTTCATGAAATGTATTTTTCTATTTCAAAAGTCTCCTGGTAAATCTGAAACTAAACATTTTCTCCAGCATTTTCTCTAGAAGCTTTGCAAATTTTTTGACAGTTTCTATGATTTTCCTCGTGATTTTCCTGGTGATTTTCCAAATAACAAAATCTCGACCAAAAGAAAACGCAATTTTCAGTCTCAAGATAGGTATTGAAAAAAAATGCAGTCATTTACAGAACAAAAGAAAGATTCCTTCAATCATTCAAAAATCTTAAGAAGATAGGATACATTAAGTTTCTAACAAATATAAGAAAAATATGCCATTTCACTCCCTTGATATGCAATTTAATAATGACAGCAATACTTGCGGCATTGAGGGCAGTGCTGTCGGCATTGAAGGCATTGTTGTAGGCATTGAAGGCATTGTTGTAGGCATTGAAGGCATTGTTGTAGGCATTGAAGGCAGTGTTGTCGGCATTGAAGGCAATGCATCACATTTACGGCAATGCTGGCGGCAGTGAAGGCATTGTTACGACATTTGTCGGAATTTTTTCGGAAATTATAGCAAATCGGAAATTTTTGCAGCAGTGACGGCATTGATGGTTAGCAATTAGGCAGTGTTGTTAACACTGCCTAATTTTGGCAGTGGTGTACAAATTTTTGGTAGGTGAAACACCCCTCGGGCCTTCCCAAGATCCACAAAGTCGACGTCCCCATCAGACCGGTGGTTAGCTTCACAAACACCCCTATCTCAGTCCTATCTTCTTTTATACTCAAACTCATCAAGGATTTCACTGCATTCACACCTACATTCGGTGTAAACAACTCTTTGGATTTAACCCGTAAACTTCAAAATATTTCATTGCCAAACAACTATTTAATTGTTTCGTTTGACGTAACAAATTTGTTCACAACCGTACCTAAGTTTGAAGCTACCAACATAGTAGGGGATCTCCTTAGATCCAGAGGATTAGAGGAAGAGAAGGTTATCAACATTTTGTCACTCTTGCACCACTGTCTCTCCCAGAATTATTTTTCTTTTAACAATACTTATTTCCAACAACCTGATGGGCTAACAATGGGCAGCTGCCTTTCTCCTTTCCTAGCTGATATTTTCATGGACTTTTTGGAAAATAACCATATAATCACTGTTGAAAATACAGAAATAATTCACTGGTATAGATATGTGGATGATTGCCTCTGCTTTCTCAATGGCGATGCTCATCGAGCTGACCTCTTGCTGCAGAAGATCAACTTGATACATCCTAACATCAAATTCACCCTAGAAATTGAAAACAATAACAAAATTAACTTCCTTGACCTCACCATTTCAAGGAATCTTTCCAACGACTTGCAGTTCTCAATATATAGGAAACCCACACAAACAGATCATGCAATTCCCAACTCTTCCAACCACCCCCAACAACATAAATTGGCAGCCTTTCATTGCTATATACATAGACTTCTTAATACACCCTTATCAAAAGAGGACTATTATCTTGAAGTTAAAATACTCAAACAAATTGCACATAACAATTCTTACGACCCCAAGATGATCGACAAACTTATTATGAAAACCAAATATAACCGTCTGAGGAAAGAAATTTACCCAGTCACTAACCTCCCTTCTACCAAATACATAGCTTTGCCTTTCTTAGATGCATCTACCAATTCCAAAATATCAGCAGCGGTTCGCCAAAATGTCGAGAATATTCAAATATCCTATAAAACTTGCAATAGCTTAGCAACATACTTGGTCAATACTAAAGATAAAATAGATCATCTCTCAAAAAGTGGCATCTATAAGCTAGATTGCAACAATTGTCAAAAAACCTACATAGGCCGCACTTGTAGACCTCTAAAGACTCGTATACAAGAGCATATCACAAAGCAATCTTCAGCATTTGGCGAACACCTGAGAACTACTAAACATAACTTCAGCCCCCATTCTAATTCAAAAATACTACACAACATTTCTTCTAAAAATTTCAATCGTTTAGATTTCATGGAAGATATTGAGATCAGTAAAGAGTTGCGCAACAATGAACTATGTCTTAACACTCAGGTAAATCTGAATAGATCATACATCCCCTTGCATAGACGCCTCTAAATTGTTCCTCCTGACCATCGTTGTGTGGACTCGACGGCCATGTTGTTTTCCCTCAATGTCTCTTCTTTTCTTCCGTCTTATTCCATTTGATTTACAACCTAACCTGGGTTCGCTTTGGACGTTTGTCTGTCTTGAGGTGTCAACTGTCTTTGATAATCTTCATGTCAATTCAAAATTTGAAAGTCATCTTCATTCGATGGGTTCTGGTTTCCGAACGACACGTTTTAAATTAAAATTCTAAAAATCCTAAATTTGGGATTTAACACAAAGATTATACTTTCAGAGACTACGATGAAGTAAGGCATAACTGACCAAAATTTTTTAAAGTTCAGCAGATTGGACCCTAAAGCCAGCATTGTGAGAGAATTTTTACAGCTCAGTTCCTTTATATAAAAAATGTGATATAAGATTCTAATTTTAAAGTGTTGTTGTTGTTACGTACGTACTTGTCCAATGTGTCGTCCCGATTTTGTTGGATTTTTCTGCACTGATTACCTGACGAAGTAAGTAGGCTAGACCCCATTCTCTATCTTTCCTTTTTTTAGCATTATTTTATAAAGTTAAGGTCTCCCTTCTACTTCCAGGTAGCACTGATGATGGCCTAAGGCCGAAAGCGCTCTGCACTGATTTTGAAAAATTAAATATTTTGCACGAAAATACACAACTTTCATTCCTCCTCAGAAAGAAATATTGTCAATGGAGTCCCACAGGGATCCATTCTTGGACCCTTATTCTTTACTTTATATACAGCACAGTTAACAACTAAGCTGAGGCATTCCTCGGTACATCTATATGCAGATGATACGCAGGAATACTTATCATTTAAACCTGAAAATATTCAAGCAGCTAGTGAAACGTTGAGGAGTGAACTTGACCTTCTCTCTGAGGAATCTAAAAAACATTGTCTAGAAATGAACCCAAAAAAATGGCAGGTGCTTCTCTTCGGGCGAATTCAAAGTAGGGATCGATTCGAAGGTCTTCTTAACATAACTTCAAATAATGAAATTTTCAAGTGCACGGCAACTGCCAGAAATTTGGGTTTATTAATTGATGTTAACTTGAGATTAACAGATCATATTGGTAGTTGCATTAGAAAGGCCTTCGCCAACCTAAAACTTATTTTTCCTCAGCGTCATATACTAAATGAAAATCTAAAAAAAACCTTATGTGATAGTCTGGTTTTGTCTCAGTTTAATTTCTGTGACGTTATATATGATCGTTGTCTTCTGGAACGAGATGCAAAGAGGATTCAGTTAATCCAGAACTGCTGTGTGCGGTTGATTGGTGGTATACGCAAGTATGATAGAGGGGTACATGCCAAAATGAGGGAGATTGGCTGGCTAACTATGAGTGAAAGGAGATTTTTTCACAGTTTGGTTTTATTTAACAACATTATTTTTAAAAAACAGCCTAGTTACCTGTATCAAAAAATTAAATTCAGATATGATCATGATGCTCTTGATCTAAGACATAAATACACAATAATTCCTCCATTTCATAGAACATCAATGTATGAAAGATCATTTAGTTATAGCATATATTCACTGTATAACAAAGTTCCTGTTGATCTGAAATGTGCACCTCCTCAGAAATTCCGAAATAAAATAAGGGGCCAGATACCTGACCTCCTGTGATACAAAATTGGCTTATTAGTCCCAGGTTCGTCAATGCTACTGTTACCGGGTGTTTCTTAATTAATTTTTAATTGATTTTTTTTTTGTACAACTTTATGCTTACTATTTAAATATTGTGTCTGCTATGGTATCGTGTTTTGCATTAAATATTATTTCTTTGTTGAACATTATTTAATATTGTTGTATAAATACAAAGGTATAAATATATATTATATTATTTAGCATATATACATATAAAAAAATAGTTGTCATGTACTGATTAAAACATTGGTATCTTAGGTTAAGTGAGGAAGCCAGGCTTCAACTTCGCCATTTGTAACTTTTTTTTTCAGGGTTGCAATAAAGTCATTATTATTATTATTATTATTATTATTATTATTATTATTATTATTATTATTACAGTAGACTCGCGATATAGTGAACATGCTGTATAGTGAACTACTCTAAATAGTGAACAGGCATTTTTTTGTTAATGCATTCTGTACAGTGAACAAAGTGGTTCTCGAAATAATGAACCCAACACGTCGATACAGGAAAACGATTTTAAACGTTTTGTTTACTTTTCTGTAATCGGATCACAGCAGTTTCTTGCGAATTGTGATTGCATCAGGTCGTTTCGCGAGTGAAATATGGCAAAAAATAGAAAACATTTAAGCCTAAATGATAAAGCCAAAATATTAGAAGACTTAAAGAAAGGTGTCGGAGTGACTGTTTTATCCAAAGAATATGGTGTTGCTAAATCAACTATATGCGCTATTCGAAACAGAAGGGTTAACATTTTGAAAAGGGTCAACAATACTTTTAGCGGACCAGGAAAAATGAAAACCTTAAGACACTCAGAGTGTCCACGAATGGAAAAGGCTCTGTATAGGTGGTTTCTCAAACAAAGAGAGAAGAATCTTCCCGTGACCGGTTTAATGATCCAAGAGAAGGCTAAGCTGCTCCACAATGATTACAAAGAATCTCCTTCTTTCCATGCAAGCAGCGGCTGGTTGCAAAAATATAAACGGCGATTTGGAATACGTTACTTAAAGATTTCAGGCGAAAAATTATCATCACAGCCTGAGCTTGTTGAGCCTTTCAAAAGAAATCTAGAAGCAAAAATTAAAGATCTTCAACTGTCGAAAGATCAGATTTACAACGCCGACGAAACTGGCCTATATTGGAAGCTTCTTCCTGGAAAAACATATGTAGCTCGCGAG